CCACCCCTCGTTAACCAAATTTCAGGTGGTGGTGTCCGGGACCCTTTGGATGATTTGCATTCGAAGGGTTCACGACATGCGCAGGGTCATCAGTATACACGTGGCCAACTGGGAACGACAAGAGCGCGGCGAGGGGCTGGAGGGGAGGGAGGGGGGAGGACTTACGAACGCCATATCGGACCCGGAATTGGAAAGCAGGCGCCGCGATGTTGCCATCGTGTAGGAAACGTCAACCATTGAGTTTCGTTTTCTGCGCGACACCCCCGAGGCACCTTTCCCCACGGCGGGATGATGTACATGCATGTCTACTTATCTTTTTTTCATGTCGGAGCGCTGACCGCACGCGACTAGAACCCATGAAGAGAGTCAGTGTTATAAGAGCCAAGAGCGCGACACGTTGTCGACGCATGCCGGCTGGGTTGCATGCTAGTGGGAGTGATTTTTTGTTGTTGAGGATGAGAGGTGCGTCGGATCGATGCGGGGACACATGCAACGTGCAGGAGGAAACGAGCGTTAGTAGAGTTCCGAGAACGAGCGAGAGAACTACCACGGCTTATTTTTTTGTCCGCGGACAAAAATGTTTCAACAAAACATGGGGAGAAAACTGGCTGTCAGTCTCGTCGAGGAAGATTCGGGTGCACTCGCGGTTTGTGGCGCGTGGTCGTAGGCGCCAACGGGAAGGTTGCGGTTCGTAAGTCACGCGCGTTTGGGTATCAGGGGGGCAGGCATTTGTCGAGCACGCCACGTGTCCGAAGGTTGTCGGCTGATTTGTGCCTGTTAAAACCCAATTTTGAACACGACGGCGTTGGCTCTCGCTGTTTGTTTACTTTGCCATTCACCGCGATGGAAAGATAGATAGTCTTAACTATGCTACGCAGCCCATTTTTGAATAGAACTGCGGAGTGTTTGTTGATGTCGTTGTAGGTGTCGTTGCCACTGCTGTGTTGTTATAGTGGCGCAACGAACGGGCAGTCTCATGTTTGGTGAAGTTTTTCGATGGAAGGGGGCGCTCGTTTTGTGTATTTTTTTGTCAAACACGTTTGTGGGGGGGTGGTTTTGTTCTCGCGCCTGTTGATCTCGTTTGTTAATCAACCTGTGTTCGGAGGCTGTTGGGTATTATCTTCTTGTTTTTTCCAGACTGCTGTCGGTGGCCTACGCCCTGGGATTGTCACAGCGTCCCTCCGCTGTTCCTTCAAAAGCTCTGCCTCGTTGTGCGTACGTACCTGCGAATCCCGAGTGATGGCTATCGTGTATTTTTCTTTGTCTCCGAGTCGCTTACGCCGTTGGTTGCCGAGTTTGTCCAGGGGCAATGTTTTCGCTCGGATGGTACGGGCAGCAGCAGGCACATATGTAGTTATTATTGTGCAATTTTTGCACTACTAGTATGTTTTTTACAAAGTGAAGTTTTGTCTGTCTTTCTGGAATGCGTCTGTCTGTCTTCACTTGGCGATTGTTTGTGTGGGCCTGTGCGTGAACGTGAATGAAAGAATATATGTAGACTAATCTTCTGGCTGGCTAGTCGTCTTGCTCGCTGGGCTGCCTAATAGCCGCAGCAAGTCAAGATTGATCGTCCTCGTTGCCCGAAGCAGCAGGAGGCGGTCTTGCATGCGTTCGCTTGCCGTTCCATCCCCGTTTCGCGTGTGGACTAGCAGATTGTTGCGGCTCTTTTATCCTATTTATCTATGTGGTACCACCCTGACAGGCGTCAGGTTTCGATACCGCAACGTCACACCCATTTATGCGGGATTACGAGACTTTCATTGCTCACATAGTTTCAGTAGGCACTCGGGTGCCTTGACTAAATTGATCGAACTTATTGAAAGGACCGTCCGTACAAAGATGATTCGATTGAAAGTAATGCGGAGCTTTTCGCGCCCATTACCTCCGTTGATCGAGCCGTCTAACCCACCTTTTCCCTTGGGATGCATGCATACCTCGCCAAGGTTCGCGGATGTTCCGCCAACTAAAGAACGAGGAGCCGGCTCTCGACCGCGCATAGACTAAACCTTCCAATAGATTCCCGAATGTCGCGTTTCAAAAATACTTTTCTTTCTTTCGTCCCCAGTGAAGCCCTACGGGGAAGATATGGCAAATGCTCCTCTATAACTACTACTGCGGCAGGTAGCTTCAGGCACCACACTTACGCACACAGGTTGTATGTGAAGTTCTCCCATTTATTTGGGCATCAATAGGATGCATGAGCCGTGGATGAGCTGGAATACATGCAACCAACACGGAGAGGAGTCGCGAACAGGAAAACTGCGAAAAACAGGTCACCCGGATACCACCCGAGCCCCGCAAAGACGTAACGCTTCGCCCAGGTTTTCAATTCCTACAACTCCCTTGGCGAGAGAGAGGAGGCGAGGAGGCTGGACATTGCATTGCATTTGATCAGTTGATTGGACTTAGCATCAGCGAAGACCATGAAGACGTTCGCCGCTTGCACGCTTGCTCTTGTCGCCGGTGACTTGGCTGCCGCTTTTACGGGCCCCCTGGCTCCCCGCACCGGAGCTACCAGCGTTGCCCGTGCATCCTCGAGCTCGGCGGTGTGCATGTCCGTGGGAGACGAGGTGGGTTGCACGTTACTACTGTCTGTCTCGATGAGTTTGCGTGCTGCAGCAGGCACGCAGAGACGCTGACAATCGATGTCTGCCTCTTGGGTGCGTTTGCTCTTGGGGTGGTTGTTAGGGCCCCAGGTGTCGTTCGCAAGTTTTCTCGTCTGTTGAAAGGTCACATGAACGGGATTGCAGTTCGAGAGCGAGCGGGTAGGCAGTGTGTCCTGAACGTTCATCACACCGGAGCCCGGGCGACTCTGCCTCTCCCTCATAGCAGGCGGCAGGTATACCGCACGCGAACAGGGGAAGTAGATGTAATCGAAAGAGCGATTGGCACGTGAGTAAAGCTCGTTCTCTTCGTGTTCGTCCTTGCATGATCAGACCTAAAAAACACGCAGGAGCAGATGTGGTGCGGTTACGTACTCTGTGTCTCAGTGATATGCGTCAGGGTGGTGTTGCAGCGGTAGATACCAAAGGCACAGCAGAGTTGCCACTTTTATGCCCGTACAACGCTAGGTTTGGATTGATATTGTCGTGGTTCCAACCACCAAGAGCAATTGTGATACCTGCATTGGTACTGCGACAGGCAGTATTCAGCGTAAGGCTGATGCCCGGTCGTGGGGTAAATGGATGATGGACAGACCGACCCATGTCATGCTTGCCGCTTTTTTCCCCTCAGCAACGGCATTTTCCAACACGCGAGTCTCATGCAACGCGTGCAGCGTATTGCGGATGTTGGGGGCTGCTGTGTGCCTTACCCTCTCCTCACGCGTCGGTAACACTACTCGTGCGTGATCCAATCCGTCCGTCCGCTCGCAGCTACGTAGAATTTTCTCCAGGTGGTGAAATGTTGCCGATTTTGTTCAACTACAAGTCAGGGTGCAACTCACGGAGTAACACATGTTTCGGCCAAGGCCGGGTTGCCTTTTTCCCCGGCCTCCCGGCACACCCCGACCCGTTTATGCTGTTCGCGCATGCATTTATCGTGCAACGAGACCGAGAATGGGTCGTGGTTGTGTTGACACCACACAGACTAGTAGGTTTCGGGTCCCCCCGCACTCGAAACAAGTACCACGTAGACAACATGTACTCCAGCTGGTAGCACGCAACCTCTCCCCTTGATGTTCGCAATATGATACGATAGACATACCGGTAAAGATTGCTGAGTAGCGATGGCGATTATTGTCGGTACCGGGTATTTTACCTGGTGTTATTGTTTGAAAAAACAAGAACCAGGCCTGTTGCTGTCCCCGCAAGACTGCGGGTCATGCCACACCTCCTACGCGAACCCCCAAAGCTCGATTGCGCCATATGTAACCGAACTCTCCGCATTTTTTTTTCTTCTTCGTGGCACTGCTGCTGCCAGCAGGCGATGTCCCGGAAGAACGCGATCGCGGCGTTTTCCGCGGGGGCCGCGGCGGTGCTCGGCGCGGCGGCGGTGCCGGCGGCGGTTTTCGCAGCGGAGGAAGCGGCAGCTCCCGCCCCCGCCGCTGTCTCTGCAGACGGGCCGCCCAACGACTGGGGATTGACCAAGCAGTATTACCCGGTGGGTCTTGTTGTTGTTGTTATTGTCTTTACATCAAGAAACCTTTCCGGTTTCCGCTCTGTACCTTCTAATATCTGTGCTGGCTCCAACTGACGCGGATGCATTCCGTGGTCACAAAGCCAAACTTTTACCCAGCTGAGTCGTGGTGCTCAGAATTTGCTGAAAATTTTACGGTAAGGATGCGAGAGATGGCACCCCCCGCTGACAATGCTCCATTGCTCCACAAACATTTGGGTGCGGAAAGAACGTCTACGGAAAGCCGTCGACGAAATGTTTTCAATGCACAGCAGTTTGTGGCGTTTGCGAGAGGTTTGGAAGTCGGTCTGGAGGGGGTGATAGGGTGATCTCTCTCTCGCGTCCTTACGGTGTTCCACACAGCGACAGGCAGCACTCTGCCTCTGACCATAGCATAAACAGGCCGGACCAGGCGCATGATCGTACCACGTGCTCATCGAGATTGAGTTTTGAGTTGAGGACGCCGGTCTGCTACATGTGCTTTCCTTTCCTTTGGTGTGTTGCTGTTGGCATTTTGTCTTCGGTGAGTCTCGTCAAGTGTTGGGAGTACGTAAACTGCTGGGAGGATCATGGGTGGCACAGATCATCGCGCAAGTTGGCTCTCCAAGTGATGAAAGAAAATGATGGGCCTTGACTAAGATGTGCTGCTGTAGGCATGACACACGACCGCTGCGACTTGCGCGCAAATTATCAACCAGCCAGCCAACGTTGAATGCCTGCCTCATGATTTGGGCAGTCCATGACAATACCGTCAGCATGAAGCTAACCCTTAAATGCGTAGAGCTGTACACGCAGCGGTAGTGCGTTATTCTCGGATCGTCAGCATTACAAGTTGGTTAGACCACACGGAAGTACAGCAAGTACAACCTTCCAACAGATGCGGCAACAAAGGTGTGTGCAGATGGCCTCTACTGATTGAAAAGGACTAATCTCACGACCGGGCCGACACGCAACTAAGCTCTGTTCGGCAGCTGCGAGAGGTGTCAACCGTGTCTCTGAATGCGGTGGGATGATAGTCGCTGGGTGTACGCCGGATTCGCGAGTCAGGAACAAACACTCAACAGGACAGTATTAAGGCACCTTATGTGTCCTACGGTTGCCGTCGGTGCTTGTCGCTTCTCACATTCCTCAATAACAGCCCCATCTCAGTTAAAGACGAGTTTTTTTCTAGCATGTCGAGGGAGGCTTTTTCATGGATAAGACTGGTCGCCTAGTATTTGTAGTAGTCGTCGCCCCCCCCCCTCGGTTTTTTCCCTTTTGTGTGATTTGATCTGTCTTCGTCTCCTCTGAGCGGAAACCCGACCAGGGCACGAACGGCGATTGCACCCAGACGTGGTTGAAATCCAATGCCAACCCACAGCTGACGGTTGTTGATGTTGCCACGCTCCCTGCGTTTTGCACTACAGGATGCCTCCAAGATGGTTAGGCACATGAGGTACTGCACCAACATGGAGAAGGGAGACCCCAACATGGCGGATATTGCCAACAACTGCAAGAAGGAGGTGCAGTCCGTGGGTTGAGCTAGCTGTGATGCATAACCTATGTAGCGTCAAGGCATGGAGACCCCCCCCTCCCCCCCAGCACGTACACACCTGGGTGCCCCCATGTTTCGTTTTGACAGAGGATTTGGCGCGGGCAAGGGGACGGTGACTGTCGAGCACCCTCGTTGGTGGTATGTTGATGTACGGTTTCTTGGGGGAACTCGTGGATTTCGCGAGGACACGTAGTATTGCCCTCAGAGACCTGTTTGGGAACAGGATTGACCTGGCCAAGTGTATCGGTGGAAGCAGTTTTGGCGCCCATTCGGACGAACAAAACGCTTTTGCCGGGGCCTTTCATCCTCACTCTGACTCTCTTGTGAGTTTTTTGCGTCAGCGCTGTTCGCATGATGTGGAGGGTTGGCTCCCGATGGCCACTGCTTCAGCTCTTCGTCCTCGGTTTTCCTGTGAGATCCCCCACCATTTCTTGCTCCTTTTGCCTATTCCGAGACCAACAGCCGCGAATTGTATTTCGCAAAAGCACAGACGACACAAAAGCCTTCTTTTTTGTTGTTCCGCGGCCTTCTGTCGGACACACAGACACGGACCACAAAAAAACTTCAGGTAACACATCTTCTCCTACAATAAGACGGTATTTTTTTACCCCATGGCACCCGTACAATCATCTAACGCCGCACGCACGCACCCTTTCATCACAATCGCGGCTATCCACCCTCCGTTGCTTCCACCTTGCACGCACGCGCGACACATGCAGATGGTGGAGTTCGTGTCTAACTACCGCCGCTCGACCAACATCAACGGCAAGCTGTCGTACTCCAACCTCTACACGTCCATCTCGGTGCTGGCTGGACACTACGCCTCGTACGGCCCCAAGTTCCCTGTACCCGAGAAGCGCCGGAAGCGCCTGTTGCAGGTGTGTGTGTGTGTCCTTGTTGTATGAATAGCGTCGACCTCGCTAACCGGCTGGCCAATGAAAATATGTGTGCGTGTGTGTGTCTTTCTGATTAGTTTCGACCGGGCTAACCGGCTGACCCATGAAATGACGTGAGTCTCAGTGCGGTTGAAACAAACACAAAGTGCTTCTAAGGCCACGATCTGGGACCCCCGTGACGTGTGTGTGTGTTGTTGATTAGTTATCATCATCGACCGCGCTAACTGAGCAATGAAAATATGTCAGTCTCAGCGCGGTTCAAAAGACAAAATGCCTCTAAAGGCCACGATCTGGGACCCCGTGAGAGGGCGTCACGGGGGAGTATGCTTCTCTCCGGATCCAAGACACATACCATTGCAATGACCGAAGAAATGCTGTGTGTGTAGGTGTTTTCTTGAAGAATGTGTGACAGCAGTAGCAGGCGTGTGTTGCAGGGGGCGTTTTCACGGAGCGCCCTGTCGTAGGCAACAAGCAGCGCTTGACGATTTACGGGAATGTGCGTATGATCTAGGTCCGGTGTTTCGTAGAGCGCGCGTTGTGGTGGCCGAAGCACTTCCTGAGAATGGATTCGCTTACCAGCCAGCCCGCTTCTTCCTTGTGTGTTAGGGGCAGCCAGCCGATCGCCGTGTGAAGCAGCAGGTGGGTGTAATTGTGGTACGAGGGGTTCAAAGGCGAGACTTGAGCGAGAACTCACCCGGTTCTGTTTGCACCTCGCTCTTGCCCGCTTTTGCATACCTTGCCCCCAAGCAATCGCCCACAGCAGTAAGAGCACCCCTTTAGCGTTTGTCGTTCTACCGACTCGCAGTATGGCCCGGAGTTCCGGTTTTACGGGGTCCTATCCCAACGCCGTGGACACGAGTTTATCACGCCCGCGACAATAAACACACGATAAACACATCTGACCGCTTGTAATGTCCTCGTTCCATCCGTGCGTGAAACTACTGCCGTTTTCTGTTGCCGCGGGCGTTTCACTTTTGTGCCCGCGTCGCTTGGTTCGTGTGTGCTTTTTCACATGTAGGAGTACACCGACATCGAGCGAGCGATCAAGCGCCAGCGTTAACTTCGCGCCCGCTTCATCTCGTCTTGTAGCTTCGGCGTTGTCGAGGGTAAGACCGGCAGTTGATGGGAGCATGACTGATGCTAGCCGAGTGGGTGGCCGTTTCGTAAATAGAGGGACAAAGGGTGTCTCCTCGGTTTTGCGGAAAATATATTTCAGGTTCGCGATTGGGTAGGCGGCTGCCACGTGGGGAGGGGGGGAGGGTTAGGGAACACCTTAGACCGAACTGATTTAAAGGAGGGCGCGCGTTTCACTAGAGGCATGGAACAAGTGACCGCTTTCTCTGTTGATGGCGCGACGCTTTGTGCGTGCTCGAAAACGTGCGTCGATATGTGAAATAGAGTTCTTGAAACGGTTTGAGAACAAAGAACGTCACGCCCCCCCCCCCTACCAGCCCCACCTTTACCAGTTCGAAGTTGTGATGGTCTTTAGCGATGTTTCTTCCTGTGTTCGGGTGTCCGCGGGGGGCAGCAACTACTAGACGCGTTGTTTTTGTTGTTTTGTTTGGCCTGGTGTTTCCGAGTATGAAGAAAAGATGGCCAGGCACAGCTGCTGATTGGTTGGTTAGTTCACAGGAACTTGGAAAACCTAGCAAGGGTGCACGCATTCGGCAGTTAATGACGTGTCTTTGGGTGGGAATCCAGGAGTAATCACAGCGCAAGCATTATCAACCACACCACAAGAAATCAGCTCCGTTTGCTTGGCATGTCACAATCAGCATTATGATTGAAAAGAGAAAGTAAGCTTGCAAATGGTATCAGCACGCCGTCGACATTTGATCGCGAGAAGGATGTGGCCTGCCTTTCGAGAGGAACAAACAGAACGGGTTCGGCCGGTAGGGTAGCCTTCTATCGGCTCTTCCCTTGAACATGTTGCAGTCGATTTGCTCAAAAGGGCTTCATGTACCCAGGGACACACGGTGGATTTGCTTGCTAAGGGCTTCATCCACACTTGACGGGCCATTTGAGCGAGTCAGACCGTCGAGAATCTCCTGCAAGGGGGCAGCCCGGCCATAAAATCGGGACGACTGGATTGGCTAGGCTACAGCTTGATCTCCTCTTATTGTTTGATGAGTGCCGGTGCCGGAGAGATGCCACACAGTTAATTGCGGGTATGCATGAAGGGAGCCGTGCAGACACGTCGTGTCCGAAGGGCACGCCGGCTGCTGCACTATATTCGCAATCACATATCACCGCTACCTAAATAGTGCTGTGCGCCTCAACAACTCGCACCCCAAACCGAAGCTCCCGTCCACACAACGTCGTGCGGGCATGCATGATCGAGCGGATGTATGCGGTCCCATTCGCGCGACTAAAATAGTACATGGAGCGCCACACGGTGGCATTCATTCGCTTATGATCGAAACGTTGTACTCGACTCTTGTCTAGCATGCCCCGCGACCATGAAAACTCACTGCTCCACGTGTGTGTGCCGTTCACAACCAGCCGCACTTGAAGCTTCCTGTTGGAGATACCAAAATCCTCGACCAAGAAAGCCCCCATGATGCGCACAAGGTCCGTCATGACATTGCCCACGAAAACGTGTTGGCAGCACGTCACCCCCAACGTACACGACACCAACTCCCGGCAAAACGAAGTTGTCTGGAGACCAAGTGTGTTCTGCAACAGGGCGGGGTGGAGGTCTGGTCTACACTGCCACCCTTTGCGTTGCCGCGATGCCCTACCATGAGACTTGCTATCGGAATCGGAAGGCCCCCGCGACCGCTAAATGGTCCGAGGGATGCCAAGAATTTGGCAAGCAATCGCCCCCCGCGACTAGCTCTCTCTCTTCTTCGCAGAGCGGTTCCATGGCACCGACAGCCTCGAGCGTCGCCTGCAGCGATGCAGAAGCGCGGACGCGGCAGGCAAGGGACAAAAAAGAAGGACAAACGCCAGGAGGAAGACTCACGTTTTTACCAGAGGAAAAAGTCTCTCAGGCGTGCTAGGCTAAAGCGTCCGGATGGGCAGCGCATGGAATCAAGCAGTACACTCTCCTCGCGTTTCGACCTCACTATACCACGAATACTCAAGGTCTCAAGACGATGACTGAGCTAAGTACGTCATCGCTCGAAGCCGGTTCTTGCTGTTGTCTTCACATTCAAACCCGATCGTATCTCCATCCACGCAACTCCTCTATCCCCGCGGTATTCACAAAAACCCGTATTATTCTTGGTGTGATAATATGCTCAACCCAGAGCGCGGTGTGGAGGAAATCAGACCACGTCCGATGCACTCGAGAAAGAACGAATACTGCCGTAGCTCAAGCAACGCGTGCTCAACACTTCGTGCGGCGGAAATAGACAACCACGACAACACAAGAGATGCATCAGTCTTACCGACAACAATGTACACACGACAAAAATAGTAGAGCATCGCTACATGTAGCACGAGCCCCGGCCGGCGGCCCACCTTGGAGTAGAAGACGCGGTCGAATCGTGCCGTGTATGGGCCCACCCACGGCACCCCCCCGGGTAACTCGACTCCCAGGGCGTGCAGATCGTGAGCAACGCCCCAGAACTTGCCCCCGCGAAGCTCCGAGGCGTAAATGGAGAAAAAATCTGAAGGGGGAAAGCGTAGAAAAAGACGCACGCGAAATGGACGCTCAACAGAATAGGGCCAGGTATGTTGTGGCGTAATCCTGAAAGTCATGAGCAAGCAACTCGATTTGTAGAACGGGTCCCGCCTTGCGAAAGAAAGTCAAGAATCAGACATCGAATGCCGATATAGAGGATGACAGTCGCGAAAATATTTACAAAATGAAGCAGGGTGGTTGTCGTTCCACCCAACGAGAGCAGACCTAGCTATTCCTTCGAGTCAAGCAAAATAACAGCACAAGCAACAGACAGTAGTTGTATCCTACGTGGTGCAGAGAAGGGCTGAAGACACCCCCGGCGAAATGCGTACCTTCCAGGGTAAGTCCACCCCCTGGCCCCGGTCCCATGATTGCCTCGGCGGCTCTAAACTCGCTGCCCCGCCCGAGCGACCTGTTGATTTTCATCAGCCAGGCCTCCACCCCTTCCCGGGGAAGGAACGCCTCCGGTTCTGCGCCTGGCGTCGTGGGGTCCCCTGCTGCTGCCGCTGGCGGCGGTGGCGACGGGTCGTTGTCCTCGGCGCGGGCGGTGTTGCCGCAAGCCCCGACCAAGGAGTAGAAAGCCTCGGACAAAGCCACCTGCAGCCTAGTCGGTCGTGGAGGCGTGCGGGGTAGGAGAAGAGTACAAAGTAGTCCGGGTTGGTTTACCGTGGCACAGTGGGTGCACAAGTACATGCTCCATATCTTCCGCTTGCTCTTCTGGTCCCGCCCCAAGCAAGATCAACGCAACGCAAACGGAAGACAAGGAGAACCTTCGTCTAGCGTGGGGGGAGCAAAGAGGGCGCACGGACAAAAATATTGGTAGTTATCGCTTCGCCAATCGTCAATTGGCAGGTGGCAAATATATGCCTGCACAAGGGGCCTCTGCCACCCATAGCCCGTTCCTATGCATACCTCCAACTAATCCCACCGCAAACCCACTCGGTATCCAAGGCCAGCAGCTGCGTGTTCACCTTGCCGAGACGCCCTCTCCGTCCTCGCTGAGAAAGTGGGGGTGCAGCAGGGGAACCAGGAACGTCGGAGGCGGACCGTTTGACGTCGGTTCTCCCCCCATTCCGCCCCCAACCCCTGGTCCCGCGGGGTCTCCACCGCCGTAGGCCTCCTCGTAGATGTCACCGAACGGCCCGAACCCCTGCCGCTTGTCCTTGGAGGTGATGGCCGTCTGTGAGTTACATAGGGCGGGGGGACAAGGAACAAACAGGAGGGAGAAAATTTTCCGCCTGCGATACGAGGTATGCGGAGACGTGAGGGCACATACACAAGATCATGTTCTTAAAAGTAGAAAGGGCATGGGTGCCGCAATAGCGTCTCGGCCAGCTCGACGGCAGTCAAAGCCACGACGAAACTGGACGCCTTACGTCCTCGCGGGGCGAAAGCTCGACTCGACCCCCCACCACAAAACTTCCTGGGATGCACAAGCAGCAACGATTTTGTTGCAGGTAAATACCTATGCAGTGCTCTTTCGAACACTGCTGCGGGCACGAACAAAGCCACTTCTGCTTTCGAAAAGCCTACCTCGGGGTAACCCCCTTCCCGAAACGACGCCCCCACAACACCAGTCGACAAAAGCTCGCACACCGCCGTGTGGCCGCTGTTGCTGTTCAGATCCCCGCACACAACCACGGGGACCGATGTTCCCGGGGCAGCAGCAGCGCCCCCTCCCCCCTTCTTCCCGCCGCCTCCCCCGCCTTTCTTCTTGCCCAACCCTGCCGCGGCCGCTTCCGCTTCCTCGGAAAGCAGCTTCACCGCATCCTTTCTCGCGGCATCGAGGCCGTCCAAGACCTGCCGCATCCGTCTCTCGGGCGCGGGGCCTCCGGTCAGGTGGCAGTTAACCACCATCACCAGCCTCCCCTTGCCGCTCCTGCTCGAAGCTCCTCCGCCGTCATCAGCACTGCCCTCGCCCCCCCCGAGGTGCCTTATCCTTGACGATTCTGCGGCCGCCGCGGGCGGGTGTTCGGCGGCGGTAGATCCCCCCCGGTTGCTCGGTTGTGCGTCGGTTTTGCTGCTAGGGTCGACGTCTTCTGATGGTTCTTGCACCTCCGTGCGCTCATTGCCAGGAGGTGGAGGTGGCGATTGCGAGGGCGGTGCTTGCGACGACGGCACGCTCGTGGCCGGAGGTAGGGTGCGGAGGCCCGTGACGAGCACCCTGTCCTTGTGCTTCTCGGACGCTAGCTCCAGCCGCGATGTCTTGAAGAACGTGGCGGAACGAAAGCGAAACTTTGTGTGTAGCACGTGGTCGTAGCTAAGTAGCGTTCGATTCCGTGTTGGTCGGGAATCCAGAGAAGGGGGGAGAGAACGAAAGGGACGTATGGGGAGATTGGTGTTGGCAGACGGAGGAGAGAGGGCAATAGGAGTGTGCACGAACGTTTGAGAGGAACGGAGAGATGCAAACGAGGTGAGGGCACGGCGGCACAAATCGAGGGATACAAAAGTTCGGCATGGATGAAACTGGGCTCAGCAAGCGGCGAAACAGGTGTCGGCTCGATCTTCGTCGCTTTTGGCAGACAAACTCAGAGGTAAACACGCACCAAAGCACCGAGCATCTCCGCAGCTTCATACTGCTGTACAGCCATGTTGTCGATACGGATTGCCCCGTTCGTGCCTTATACTGGCTGGCGTACATGGGCACGTGGTATCTCCCATATATCTTGTCCCGCAGTAATTTCGTCGCACGAAAAGGGGAGAAAGGTGAGAAGTTGAGAACATGACTACAAGAAAATGTACTAGTATGTCGCACTTGGCAAATAATGGGCATCCACAAGACGGTCATAAAAAGTGCGCCTCTGTCTCTCTCTCCTCTCTCTCTCTCTCTCTCTCTCTCTCTCTCTCTCTCTCACCCGGCGTCTTTCATGAAGTCGAAATCGGTCTCGAAGGTCTCGGCCGATGCTTCCTGAACGCACACGATGTCGGCATCCTTGCTCAGGAGGTACTCCCGCATGAGCGCCTTCCGGAAAGGCCACACCCTGTGCTCCTCAGGAACATGGGGCTGGTAGCTCTGTTAGTGAAGGAATCGCCGCGGTCACACGCAATCAAACATGAGCCGCCCTGACATCACGACGTCCAGCACCAGCGGCAGCAGTCCCGCACTCTGTCAAAACCGTGGTATCTACAACATGCCTTTTTTCCGTCCTTCCTGCTCTCGCTTCTCTCGGTTTCCTGTCATAACACACACCTTGTACATCCACCAGCCATCGTTGCCATTCGGGAGCAAAACGTTGAAAGACACTACCGTGAGGCCGTCGTCCAGCAGCGGCAGCGGAGCCTTTGCCGGGAGGATCGCCACCGCTGGAGCTGGGGCTGCTGATGATGTTGACATGACGACTCGAGGCCGACTGCTCGTTGTGCGTCGCTGCACCAAACCCAGCGGGCCAAACCCAGAAGCAACGTGGAGGTACGCCACGCAGAACCAGGATGCGGTGGACGCACGCAAGAAGCAAGTGCCAAACTGCATCCGCCCCAAGCACAGTGTACCAAGGCAGTGTAAGTGCACCACAAGGACCGTTCCGTACCTTGCGCGCTGTGTGATTGGGACGTCCACACGGGACTGTCGGGGGCGACGCAGACTGCGGACTGCGGACGTGGGACATTATCATGTGACCGCCACGTGCTGACCGGGCTGGGGACTAGGAAGTGGAGACAACTACAACGGTATACACGCCATGGTGCGTATGCCAAAGACCGATCTCTCGATGAGATCCCGGGTGAGCGTCGCGCTCCTCTTTTTGTTGCTTCCGGAAATCAGGGTGAGACGTCTGCTTGTCCCAGAGAAATATTGGCATCCGCTCATTCCCCTGTTCCCGTGTGTGTATCCTGCGGGGTTGTGGACAGCAAATCCGGCCCTCATGTGTATAGACCAGACTTTGTCCACAAACATACAAACATGGTGCATTGCCTTATCTACGACTGAAATGTTGACGGGTAGTCTTTTGCCCAGTATCGTTAGGTATCTCTCTCGTTGTTTGGTCGAAAAGGGCCAGCACTCTGCACCCTTGTGCGGCACAATAGACACGAGTACAATTTGTACGATGCACAGATGCACAGCCGTTACGTTGGCTAGACTAGAATACAGTACTGGGCCCTCTAAAGTGCAGGGGTGTGTCCAGAAATTTTACCTGCACCATAGCGGGCACCTGCACTAATCAGAATAGTGCGTCAGTAGTGCAGGTTCGGCACTATTGAGGCTGTGAGTATACCTCAATAGTGCAGGTTCGGCACAATTGAGGAGATGTATGATTTCATGCTGTGGCGCTCGTGCTTTGCGGGGCTAACAGACTACGAATTGGATCAAATTACTGGTAGTGCTGGGCCCTGTTCTAGCGTGGGCGTGAGCAGACTGTCCCGCGACGCGTGTGGTTCCCCCCTGTCGCATTCACAGAGATGTTGTAGAAAAATCACTTGAAAGTTGCACCGTGAATTTCTTCCTGCCGCGGCACTCGTTCTGTACTAGTCTTCCGGTGCCCCCGTTCGATGTTTCAAGATAAAAAAATATATTACACGCCAGGAAGCGCACTACAAGAAAACAAACAACCAGTACTGCTATCGCTGTACCCCCCGCCCTCACTTCGTCGTGAAAAACTATCTCATGTCTGCCTGGCGCATCCATCAATTTGAGAATTTCAAGCTTCGTGTTTTTGTCCGGCCGCGCACGAGAACCAGAACCCTTCTTACTCCCCCCCTTCGTTTTCTTCGGGCGTTTAGATGGTCCCGCCCCAGCACCCGCAGCTGGTGTCGCTTTGCGCTTGCCAGCCTTGGCGACGCCCTTGCTGCAGATGCGGTGCTTTTCGTTGTCCTCAAACATGCTGCCTCAATTGCCGTGGAGCTGCCCGCCACACCCTCCCTTGCAGACGTGGCCATGAGGGGCTTGCGGCGTTCTGTCTTGTTGATGGCTCAGTTCACCGCCCGCACACGGCATGGTGCGCCTCGGCGTAGACCTCTTCGAGTCTGCAGCAGCACATGTCCCCTGGTTTCTGTGTTGGGGTCTGTCCGCGGTCTTGTCCGTGTGTGTTTTTGTTACTAGCATCGACCGCGCTAACCGGCTGACCAATGAAAAGACGTCAGTCTTAGTGCGATTGAAAATATTGAACACTTCTAATGCCACTAACCGGGACCCCGAGGGGGCGGCTTGGGGAAGGCTAAGCAATTCTCCGGATCAAAGACAGAAACGGTAGCAACAGAAGAAAACTGCACGGGTCGATGAAGGCTGCAACCTTGCACTCTAGTTCGTTTTGGAGTGCTTTCACCGCCATCCTCCTTCCTTCCATCGTTCTCACGTATCGTTTGTGTGTGTGTCCAACCTGCACTACTGCGGGCACCGCGGTGCCCAACCTGCACTAAAGCGGAACCGCCCTCAATAGTGCAGGACCTGCACTACTGAGGGCGCTGTCTGTGTCCAGAGATTATACCTGCACTATACCGGGCACCTGCACTATTCAACCTGCACTATAGACGACCTGAAGGCATTCGGGGCCGACCACGGATCTACGAAAACTGATCCATGTTGTCTCGGAATCCCGGTACCGAAAGACACGGCACCGAAGTTAAAGTGGACGGAAGCCGCGAAGGTGGAGGGGGGAGTACCCTGGCATGCGGCGCTGCTGCAGGGAGCTGAGAGGTTCATGACCTAGCACGAGAAGGAAGAAGAGGCCAGCCGACAACGGGCGCTCAAACGAAACCACAAGCCAACTATTATATATGTATAATGGGGCAAGAGGGGGGCAAGAGACGGACGAGACGGCGAGGGGAGAAAGCAAAGGAGAAGAGACGGACCGAGTGGCGCGATACGTGCCGGATTGAATTTCTTTTAGCCAATTCCCCCCCCCCAATGTGCACCATTGCACCAACCCCTCACTAGCAATGACGTAGCATTACAATGTATCGCTGGCTGGTGGCCATGTTTGCGTGTTTGCTTGTTCGTTAGTGGTCTCTCCACCGTGTGCCTTTTTCCGTCTCTTATTTCTTGTTTTTTTCGGCCTGGCCCCTGTTTGTCCTCGCTCTTTTCATTTCATTTTCTCTTTCCTTACTGTTTCCTTTTATTTCCTTCTCTTTTTCTCTTGTTCTCTTTTCCCTCTTTTTCTGTGCCAGATGGCCTTGTCTCTGCTTGCGTTGTGAAGTACCAAGATTGAACCAAGGGGGTGTACCTCATTCTCTCCGGCCCGTGATGGTGACTCCTAGTCTCAGTTGTTACCTCGCATAGCGCGCAGAGGGAGTGGAGGACTCCAGAATATCTGTCATTGATTTCTATTGACTTGCGGACCCCTCGGGGCCATTTTATTTGAGTGTACCTTTGTAGGGTAAGTTAGCCTGCGACCACGGGAATCGACCGCGCCGAGTGTTGGATCAATACGGACATGCGAAGGTACTGGGTAGAGAGAGATAGAAACGGTTTTTAATGTGAAGACAACAACAACAATAGAGGGACCAGTACTGTGGTAGAGACTACTCTGTTGATGAGAGTTCAAAGAACACCCGCGGCGAGCACGCTTGTCTGACGCTAGGCAGTAGCAATCGAAACTGCTGTACGGATATAGTCCGAGTTATGCAGGCAGCAAATTTACCCGTCTGTAAATGACAGGCGGCACCTGGCTCTTGTGCCGTACAGGTGGTAGCCCGACCTATTGCAGGCAGGGACCCTAGCTGTACACCCCGCCTTGCTGCTCATACCCTGGGTGGGCAGTCCGTTGTGCGCATGTTCTGCATGGTGCCTAGGAAGGGTTGACGACCTATGTTTTTGCCCTGGACTCTCATGGTTTACGTTGTGCGAGACCGCGAGGAAGCGGGCTACTGCTCAAGTCTATATAGGTCAAAATGCTTCCACATGTGGTTGTCGACAGGTGAAAAACGAAAACGGTGTCCCATGTCGAGGACGACACGATTCCCTCTTTTGACGTTCTGAATTTTCTGACACATGCTGTTAGGAATTGCTTCACTCCCTCCCATGTAAATGGCCCGACGGTAAATCTTGTTTGCCCCCCTCACACACACCCGTTGCCCCCTCCCCCGCCCCCCGCAAACACGACCAAAACTGAATCAAACCAGGGGTTTGTGGCAAATCCTGCTTCTCGGGGCTTCACCTGGCACCGCGCTGTTAGGAAAACTGGACACGAACTTCATCTCCAAAATGACTATGACCACAATCCGACAGCAGCCGCTTCAGCGGACCAGTCGGTAGCGCAGTTTGACGCAGAAGCAGGGAGAGGCGATGGCGAAGGCAACAACAACGGCAACGCATGGCAAGGGCTGGGGGGGAAGCAGAGGAGCGGCATGTTTGACAACGTGCCGGTTCAGACAGTGTCCGGTGACGGCAGCTACACGGCGGTGCTGGTCGTGCCGACCGGTATCGGAGCGGCGATCGGGGGGTATGCCGGCGATGCTTTGCCGGTGGCCAGGTGAGACAAAATATTAGATTGTAAGGAACAGACGAAACGACAAAGGCGTCTCGCGCCGGTCGCGCCAGCGGCCAGCTCCCTCCTTCCTCTAGCGATCTCTGCTGTTTAGGGTTCATAAACGGTGGATACACCCCCCCGCTTCATCGTGCTATAATACTAGATTTAAAGGTGATCGAGTTTCCGCACGATACATGCATGGATGAGCACGCCGAGTTTAGACCCAACACACGGTTGCGACTGGTTGACATTTTTTTCCAAACCAAACACGTGTTCGACGTGTCCATGGCGCCCTGCTGCTTCTTGTTGCTCCTGCATTTGCGCCCTGCTGCTGCTGCTGCTGCTCCTGCTCCTGCTCCTACTGTTGCTTCAAAGGGCCGTGTCGTCCGTGGTGGACACTTTGGTGACACACCCGAACGTCATGAACGGCGCGATGCTCAGCTGGCCCCAGACGGGAATACAGTACGTCGAGGGATACGCGCTTGACGAGTTCTGCGCGGGAAGGTACGTTGTGTGTTCTTGGGATGACCTCCGGAGGTGGGGAATAATGCTTAGATGTGTAGTCCTGACCTTGGGTGGGAGCGATAAGGCTAGCTCGCATGGTATCGAACGTGCCGCGAGGACCCTGTCTACAAGGCACAGGGCCAACTATACTGCAGAATTTAGAAGCCAAACGACTGCTCAGTTCAGCGTTGACGACGCGAGAAAAGGTTCATGTTCGTGGTGAGCCTCGAGCTGCCGTCACCGCTGTCCTGAAAGTTGTGTGTGTACGAGTACGGTATCACCGAGTTTTTCTTACGGCACGGATCGCTAGCCTCCTTTTTTCAGAGCATGCCACGGTGTCAAGAGTGCCACTTTGTTTTGGCCATCTTTCCCTCGGTTCCACTATGTTGAGGACCCTTCTACACGACGAAATTCGCGCTCGCATGTTCATACACGCACGTCCCCTCTTGGACACCGCCTAAAACGAAGGTGGGGCTTGTTACCCGTCACCAAGGGCGGGCACCGTATCGGCTTGGTCTTGGATTGCGCCATCGAGGACGACCTTCAGCTCAGACACTTGCAGGTACGACTCCAACCACGACAGCAGTAGCGCGAACTTTTTTTGTTTTTGCTGCAGGTGTAGCGGAAGCACACTAGCATCTTGCTCTTGGCCCTTAGTCGTGGACTGCAGTAAGAAGACAATGGCATGATACACCAGGTGGTGCTTTTTTTTTTTTCCTTCATTGAAGATTTTGAGATTTCTTATTTTGGGCATGACACGTCGAAGCGCAATTGTTCGGAATTTTTTCTCATGCGCGAATGGCGTTTTTTGAAACCGCACCTGCCTTTCGACCACCTTTCTCTCTTCCCACGAAGTGGGCCATTCGCCGAACGTCCACCGTCACGTTTTTCATGCGTCCTTGGGGCCCGAAAATCTAGTCGAAGCTGGAAGATAAACGTTAAATGGTGGATGTGCGTAGACGCCGGTACCCCCAAAAAACATTCTCTCCACGACGATACTCTCTCACGACAAACGGAAATGCTCCCTTCCCCCCCTCCCCCCCGGTATTTGCCATCGGGGTTGGGTTTTCGTCGCTTGGCAACGACGTTGTAAAACAAGCCGCCCCCCCCGGTGTTTGCCATCGGGATTGGGTTTTCGTCGCTTGGCAACGACGTTGTAAAACAAGCCAATTCACTTCGTGAACTCGGCAACCAGGTTACCGTTTTT